GTTAAAGACTTTAGTACTTTGGCTGCACCTCTTAATGAAATAGTCAAAAAACATGTTGGGTTTAAATGAGGTGAAAAACAAGAAAAGACATTTTCTGAACTTAAGCACAAACTATCTAATGCCCCCATCCTTGCATTACCAAAATTTGCAAAATCTTTTGAAATTGAATGTGATGCATCTAATGTGGGTATTGGGTTTGTTTTGCTACAAGAAGGTCATCCAATTGCTTATTTTAGTGAGAAGTTGAATGGGGGTGCCCTAAACTATCCCACCTATGATAAAGAATTGTATGCCTTAGTGCGTGCTTTACAAACTTGGCAGCATTACCTTTTACCAAAAGAGTTTGTAATTCATAGTGATCATGAATCTCTAAAATACTTAAAGGGACAAGGTAAGTTAAATAAGAGGTATGTAAAATGGGTTGAGTTCTTGGAGCAATTTCCATATGTCATCAAGCATAAAAAGGGAAAAGGGAATGTAGTAGCTGATGCACTTTCTAGGAGACATGCATTACTTTTTATGCTTGAAACTAAATTGTTTGGTCTTGAATCTTTGAAAGACATGTATGTGAATGATGTGGATTTTGCTGAAACTTTTGCTGCATGTGAAAGGTTTTCTAAAAATGGTTACTTTAGGCATAATGGATTCTTGTTTAAAGCAAATAAATTGTGTGTGCCTAAGTGTTCCATTAGAGAGTTGTTTGTGAGTGAATCACATGAAGGGGGTTTGATGGGTCATTTTGGGATTCAAAAGACTTTAGAAATTTTGCAAGAACATTTCTTTTGGCCTCATATGAAACGTGATGTGAATAAATTTTGTGATCACTGCATTGTGTGTAAAAAGGCTAAATCTACGGTTAAGCCTCATGGGTTGTATACTCCTTTACCTGTTCCTAAATATCCTTGGACTGACATTTCTATGGACTTTATTTTAGGGCTGCCTAAAACAAAGAATGGAAAGGATTCTGTGTTTGTTGTTGTTGATAGGTTTTCTAAGATGGCACATTTCATACCTTGCAAGAAGGTAGATGATGCTTGTCATGTGGCTGATTTGTTTTTTAAGGAAGTAGTAAGGCTACATGGGCTGCCGAGGAGCATTGTGAGTGATAGAGATTCAAAATTCCTTAGTCACTTTTGGAGGACCTTGTGAGGTAAGATTGGTACTAAATTATTGTTTTCTACTACTTGTCACCCACAAACTGATGGTCAAACTGAGGTAGTCAACAAGACTTTAGGCACATTGCTTAGGACTATTTTAAAGAAAAATCTTAAGACTTGGGAAGCATGTTTACCGCATGTTGAGTTTGCTTATAATAGGGTTATCCATAGCACCACTAATTTCTCACCATTTGAGATTGTGTATGGATTTAATCCTTTGACTCCTCTTGATTTGTTGCCTTTGCCTAACATTTCTATGTTTAAGCATAAGGAAGCACAGGCTAAAGCAGAATATGTGAAGAAGCTGCATGAGCAAGTAAAAGCTCAAATTGAAAAGAAGAATGAGAGCTACACGAGGCAAGCTAACAAGAGTAGGAAAAAGGTGGTGTTCCAACCTGGTGATTGGGTTTGGGTACACATGAGAAAGGAAAGGTTTCCTGAACAAAGAAAGTCTAAACTTCCACCTAGAGGAGATGGACCATTCCAAGTCTTAGAGAAGATCAATGATAATGCTTATAAGATTGATCTACCAGGAGATTATAATGTAAGTTCTTCTTTTAATGTTGCTGACTTGACTCCTTTTGATGCAGGTGATGAATTCATAAATTTGAGGACAAATGTTGCCCAAGAAGGAGGGAATGATGTGGACATAAAGGCCCAAACCCATAACGAGAAGGATCAAGACCAATATCTAATCCAAGACTTAGGTGGACCTATGACAAGAGGCAGGCTCAGAAAAACACAAGAGGCATTGCAATACAAAGTGACCAATTTGCTAAAGGCCCAACTATTAAAAGATCCAAACATGGAGGACTCTAGACCTATCACATGCATAGAATGTTTGGAGAGCTAGGAGGCCCAACTAAAAGATTTAGTTTTTATTATTATTATAATTTTATTTGCTACAGTGGGGATTTGAACCCAAGACCCAAAGCTTATAATGTATTCACTGAACCATTTGGGCAACTTAACTTTGCTTAGGATATTAGGATTTTAATTTATCTTTATTTCCTGCAATGAGACAAACTCATAAACTTAAGTTGTATTAAACATTTGGAAATTCAGAATGAACGTACGTAATATTCAGATTACTTTGTGAGTTGTTGCTCTGCTAGGGTTCTTCCTTGCATCACTTGATCTTATCAAGAATTATTCAATTCTTGTGGCGATCCTTCTTGGCTTATCAAATATTCTTATTTGTGGTGCCTACGGTATCTTTTATTTTTTCTGTTTTCTATTTCCAATCAAATCAATTCTTAAAATTTAACCCTAAATTGTTTCCCTTCTATTTGAATGTCGTCAGTAGGCATCTCGGAGGCCATAATATCTGTAAAAAAAAATGCATATTTAGCAAAAGGTCAAACAAACGAATGACAACTTGTCCAAAAAGAATGACAATTGGTCCATTGAGGTCAGAAAAGCAACATGCAGATAAGTAGACTCCGAGAAGTTTTCGGGTGGGCAAGTGGTGGGGTATTTGATCGAATATCCTTAACATTTAGACGTCTTCTGGCGACATCTCGGAACAAGGACAATTTTTGAAGCGCATGGGGTTACGGGTCCAGTACAGGGGAAACTTGGGTTGGTCACCATCGAAAAAATACAGGAAGACCACCTTAAAGAAGCTGCATTTAAAATTTTTATACGAGGATGTGTAGGGCGAGAATAGAGCAGAGGCCAGATGACTGATCAAGGATAACCAACTCACCAGAGAAGAGGGTCGGGTGTTGAAGTGGGAGAGAAAAACTTGAGGTGTTAGTTGCAAAATGCAAAGCCTCACACAAGATTCAGAATGCTTGCAGGGCAACCCAACTATTTGAATGCAGCTAAGTTGGCGCAACGTTCAGGATGCAGAGAACACCCATCGTGAACTCATCAAATAGAAAACAAACATGTATATCCAAAAATAAGCATGAATACATTTAGAAATACTCCACGAAACCTTCCCGCACATGACAAACATTGTCCATGACACCGCAATGGTGAAGTGTAACCATAGTATCCAAGGCGCCATCCGATAACAAATCTTGGTATTCAAGATATGATTTCAGCAGGCTCGACCATTGGTATTTGGAATAATAGCCGCAATTGTGGTGGTCTGCCCATTTGTAACTCACACACTTCAATAGGTCATCGGTAGCCCGATTGGCGTCAGTTCCCTCTATCGCATTGCTAGGAGATGGGCGTCCCTCGATAACAACTAGGTCTTTAGTTGCAGTCGCCACCAAATTAGAAGAGGTGTTCTCTACATTGTCCCCCTTCAAACAATCAATTGACACACCTTTTACCCACACCGATGAGCCACCCGAAGACTTACCAAAGCCAGATGAAGAAGAGAGGAAAGAGTAAGTCATAATTACCTCATAATAAGGAGATCGGGAATTGATAGGCACACAAGAGAGGAAACAGACAGAAAAGACAGAATACTTAGTGAAATAGTATAACACAAGCGGTAAAACGTGAGAAATGCTTCCCAACTATCCCATTATATAAGAGCGAGCATGCAAAACAAGGCATATTCCCCCACGAGTGTTTGATGTTATGCGGATCAACATTAGAGATCTAAGAAGCGTATTAGAACGTGAGAATTTTGAAAAAAATCCCACCCTTTATCTTATACCTCATTCCCCTATGAAGCAACCGGACGACACTAAAATCACGTGCTAATAACGCGATAGGTTGGAGAACAAACTCTTCGCCTCCACATCATAATCCAGATACTTAACGACTTTAGTTTTGGAGGCATATGTAATTTTAGCATAGTTCCACCTCGGGAAGCCCAAAGTTTTATCACTGAATTAGTTATATAAGTATTACAAAATGTTATGAACATAAAGTAATTTCGATATAACCTATCACATAACCACTAATTACGTCTTATTCTATTACTGACTTGAGCGTTAAAATATCTTTGCAATATTTCATGCTCCCAATATTAAGAACCGAGTACGGACGACATCAAGACAAATACGGATCTTAGAGTAGGAAATAAGTTCATGCTCTGTAAAAACAAGAAGTGTATATTGGAAATAATGATGAAAAGCAGTGTGAACTAATCAGTACTCTTTTACAAAATCACCGAATAATACAATCCCAAACTGTATATCTGAGGTTAATTTTCATTTAATAATATTTTTCAAACCATCACTCTGGTAAAAGTTATGCTCAAACGACACTCGTAGTCATCATTTTATGGTGCGACTTATTTAAAAATGACATTGTTTAATAGAACATGCTGTTCTGGCAGATGGTAGTAAAAAGAATTAATAAGAAAAGGTTTACTTCAACAAGACAATAATTATTAATTAGTGCAAACCATTCTAATTGCTATTATCAAATTAATTCTAGCACCAACTCCTAACGATCGAACTTCAAAAATATGTCTACATTTACATTACCCAATACTCATAATCTCATACTGACATGGCTAACATTTACATTTCAATCCCAAATATTGCACATTGTTCTCGCTCACAAGTAACGAACCTCACCTGCAAATAACTGAATCCAAATAGAGATCCCACATTTCATCAAAACTGCTTGTTGACTTTATTCACAAACTCAAATAAATTCAATTTTCTTATTGATTAATAAAAGATTTGGTCCTCCAAACTATTGAAATTCAACCAACAGACTGACAGTATTGATGATGCTACACAAGACCTTCTAACAACTCATTGGTAAATAATACAGCCTAAAAGTTGTAATGGAGGCAAACAATTTCGCTCGATTTTACATTTCTACCAACAGGAAACAGAGAAAACTTTAATCGCAGGCAGTACAGAAGATATATTGCGCTCTATCATAAGTGCATTTCCACACCACATTCTGAATCAAGGGAAATTAAACTTTTCTTGGCCATGTTGCTTGTGCTGACATGATAATTCCAACAATCACTCCAAATAGCCCAAGCGCGCTACCGAAGATCTCAATGACAAGAATTTTCACTAAGAGGGAGGAGTTCTGAGCATCAGATAATGCACAGCTGCTTCCAATTATTCCTACACACAACCTGCCAGAGGCGGAAAAAATTGAATATGTAACATCAGGATGGAAAAGGTCCCCTGTATTCATCAGGAGAATAATGAGGTAGGTAAGAAAGAATACACACCCACAAACAAGATTAGCAAAGCCCACAATTAATCCCGAAGCAAAGATTGAATATCCAGTCCTAAGAGACTCTGGTGCATAGATATTTGCTGCTGGAACGCTTTCTAGTTTTGTTTGAAGAATAATAGCCACAATAACACGCAACAGCTTCACAGAAGATTACACTGAAAAACATCAAGAACCATAATGTCAAGATGGCACAAATGTTTATTTATGAAACTATATCAGCCATACCTGGATACTATTACGTAGAAACTACATGCAAAAGGAACATTGACATTCACAGCACTCAAATAGAACAATCTCAAGTTTAGATTCGCATTAAAAACGGGGTTTAACAACTTATTGTACCATGTAAATTTAGTCAATCAATCATTATTATATGATTAAGTGCAGATTAGTTTACTAGGTACTCAAAACAGTTTATGATCAACATCTTATTTATAGGGCTAATAAAACTAAAACCTATACATAATTGAGAACAAAAAAAAACTAAAAACCAAAAGTTAATATATAGAGCTCAATCGTAATTGCATTTCCAAGCCCTAATTATAAAGCAAACTAACTTTTGAGAGCCATCTTCCTTGAGCTGGCAACATAATCCCAAGAATAGCCAAAGCACACAAATAGAGATCCAGTGAGGACTGTGTGAACAGAAGTTGACATAGAAAGTAAAAAAACATAATTACCACTCTAATCACAATGCCACTTAGTGGTAAGCTATGAAGCACTGACTCCGACACGGACACTGAGACACGACACGACACGGACACGCGGACACGGCAAACTTCTAAAATATAGGACACCGGGACACCTTATATATATTAGACATGAATAAAAATTGAAATATGATTCAAATGAGAAATATATAAATTAAAAATTAAGATTTGTTCATTCATCTTCTCAAGACAAAGTTGTTAGACTTTACAATTTTCATATGATATCCTAACCAAAAAATACTAAGAACTACTATTTCACAATATAAAAACTTTGTCTTTTAACAAAAAGAAAGTATCAAAATAAGAAGATGAATCAAATCTATTAAAGACAGTGGCCTTCATGATCATCATCATTGAAAAATACACTCTCTAACTCTGGTTCATCAAGTGATAAATTAGCAACTTCAAGTATTCCACTCTCATCTAGTGATCCAAATGCATCTCCTGCTATGTACCACATTTTTGTTTCCTCTTGGTTATATTGTGGAGAATTCCTTGAAAGAAGACGGAGGTTGCTATGAACAAATACTAGATCTTCTGCCCTATATGGTGCCATCTTGTTTCTTTTCATAGAATGAATAAAAGAGTAAGTGCTCCAATTTCTTTCACAACATGAAGAAGAGCATGGTTGCCCAAGTAGTTTAAGAGCAATTTTTTGAAGTATTGGAGCATGAGCACCATAAACAAGCCACCAAGATTTTGCATCCACCAACATTGCTAATAGTGGCTCTTCAACTACTTCGTTATTTCGGAGTTCATTGGGCAGAGAGCGTTGTGTGGTTTGTGCTCTCGGATTAACTGCACAGTAGCACACAGCAGAGGAAAACTGGAAGGAAAAAAAGAAAGCTTTTTTGGATGAAAGGAAAGCTTTGGAGCAGAAATGGAAAGGTGCAGAGGAAGGAAGGAAGAAAGGAAGGATACGTGCAGAGGAAGGAAGAAAGGAAGGATACGTGAAAATAAAAGTAAATAGAAAAAATTCAATTTTTTTTTTATAAAACTTGTTCCCGAGTCGGAGCCGTGTCTGACACCGCGTCGGAATTAGGGCACGCCGTGTCCACATGAATCGCAGCCTCGCGACACGTTTTTGGTGCAGGGGACACTGCAAAAAAGAGTCGGACACGCTTCCGCGAAGTGTCGTGGCGGTGTCGGTGTCGCAAACGTCCGCGACACTCCGACACGGATGAGGGGAGCCGTGTCGGTGCTTCACAGGTGGTAAGTAGTGATGCACCAATATGTAAGTTTAGGGCATGTATCCATGTCAAGGACATTCCCAACACAAATTTGGATACATTTGGAACCTGTGTCCACAAAATGTTGATGTAATTTAAAAAAAAAATCTGATATCTTGCAGATTCACAGGGATTCATTTTTTGATCCATTTGGGGATAGAAAATAACTCTTTCTCTACATTTGATGCGAAGTGGCACAGTTTTCTATTCCTCAAAAGTGCTCATTATTCTCATTCCTTCCATCCTTCTTGACCTTGACTCTTCATCTACATTTGAAGTAGCAAAGCAAACATTTAGTTTCTTATCTTTAGGACTGCTATTTATTCTCATTCCTTCCACCATTCTTGAAAGAGGTGCATCCAGGAGTGTCTGGCGTTTCAGGTGTGAATTAGATTCCTTCCATTTGATGCTATATTTTATTGATTCTTTCTCTCATTCTTATTTGCTAATTTTCTTCTAGTCTTCTTCCAGTGTTATTTTTCTTTACTTTAAACATAGGCTATTTTTCATTCATTCTTTCATACGTAGTGAGTACTTTACTAGTTTCCTTCTATTATTGTCTTATACTCTTATTCCTCTGAGTATTGACCATTTGACCCAGTTTTCTTAAATCATTCCCTAGCCATTTGTTATTCACTTATTCTTTCTATTGGTACCAAACGAAAATTGATCAAATAATCAAATCTAATTGTTTAGATAATACACAAGGAGTGGGTGAAATTAATATCATACTTATTTTAGGCAATAGACAATAAGAAGTAATTTACAATTTCTATTTTATATGTTTAGCAATGTTTAAGGATTATGTTAGTCTATTTGGCAATATTTACAATTCCTACATTATATTTTATATTTGGATTTTTTGAAGACAATAATTTGTCATTTCAAGTTCATATATGCATTTGAGTTTAGTATATTTAGTATGTTCAATTTGGATAATATTTAGTAATGATTTTCAACTTAAGTATGGTTTCTAAAAAAATTACAATAGCATTTATTTTATTTAGTAAATTATTTAAATACACATATGCATATTTCAAGATGAGATGAATTGTCGTATCAAATACATGTCGTATCTGTTACTAGCATTGTATCCTTGTATAATAGGTGTTAAGCCATGTCGTATCTGTTACTAGCATTGTATCCTTGTATAATAGGTGTTGAGCCATGCTCAACCAACAACGACAATACTGAAGGTTGTACTGAAGTTGAGCAGTTAGTGTGTTCATTCTAGAGTGACTACGAAAAGGGTACAACAACCTCTCTACCCAAAAAAACAGGCATAATATGCATATATGAATCCTAACATTGTCAAGAAAAAACAAAATTCAAAACAATTTCCTTTATTTGCATTTAAAATATCAGTATTATTAAACTTTCAGCATTTGTATTTGACCTCTGACACAAATAGATGGAGTTTGAAATGGAGAACATAATTCAGCAAGAAACTCTCTATATTCAATTATCTTTCCTTTTTTCTTTTGTTTTCTTTTTTCATGTATTAGATAGATATGCAATAACCCAGAAGGCTTTATGCCTTGAAGTGGATAACCATACCCGTCAGACCGTACCATCACTTACTCCCAACGATGAAGAAAGATTATCATTGATTATTAGGGGGTCACAAACTAATGCTCAATACACAGTAAAATTACTTCTCACTCAAAGCTAAATCACAGGTATCAAAATTTTACTACCAATAAACCGCTATTTACCAGATAAACGAACATTAAGACACCAATAAAGTAATATTGGTTGCATAAAAATCCATTAGGAGTCATTGACAGAAGAACACTTCTAGACTGATTCCTCAACATCAAAGACTTCATTTTATCATAACAATTCTCTTTTCCTTTCAGCAGAAATAAACCCAATTAGACGAATTAAAACAAAAAGAAAAGAAGAAAAAGAAACCTTTTAGTTAACCACTGTTTTTGTGTGTGAAAGTGGTGAGCTGCTACTACGCAATTGAAATTGGCAAACTCTAATACAAATCTGCCACAATCCTCTCTCCTATTTACATTAACTAACAATTCCTCTCCAACTTTCAATCCTCAACCAAAGCAAAACTATGCAACCTAATCTCCTTATCTAAACTGAACACATCTAACCTAGAACTACAAAAACAAAAAACGCGTAATCAACAGAAACAATTGACTATCACTACAGTAAATTTTCTCATCACAACCTAATTCAGTACACAAATATTACTAAAAAAACTAGGAAACACCTAAATATATAGAGTTCAATTAAAAACCAAAACTAATAAAGAACATAAAGCGTGCAAAATTGTAATTAGTTTTACCTAATGAGATTTTTGGATGTGATTCGAGGAGCCTTGATTGCAGCGCCGATCAAGCTACTACCGGTTATGTAGATCCCCTGCACGCATAGGGCGAGGCGAATCCGCACGTGAGAACAACGGAAATGGAAACGGAAAAACGGAGATTGAAGGATTACCAGGCTGTGCCGAGGACGGAGACACCGATTGCGACGGCGATGCCGATGGCAGAAAAGGTGTAGGGCGAGATCGCAACGAGTGCCCTGCTCCAAGAACTGGAATGTGCCACCATCGTCGCAGACAAAGTGAACGTGTTGCGAACGGAATGGAAGGATGAATGATTGCGATTGGATCTCACAGTTGTTCTGTTAACAACGGGTAGAGAAGGGAAGGAACCAGAACGCGGTGTCGTTTAAAAATGCTATTAAAATATTGAATCAGAAAAAACGTGACGACGACGTTCTTACCTACAGGAACAAAACTTGTGTCTTCAGCCGATGCGTCGTTTGATAAAGTGGAAAAAGAGTTTATTAGTGTGGTGATAATGAAGGCCCAAATGCAGGTCCAACTAGGATTGGGGATGGTGTAAATTAAATGAATTTTCTGGTATCGTTTTCGTTATATAAATAATTTTAATTTTAAATTCGTTTATAATATTTTTTATATATAAATAAATAAATTCCCCATTGAAATTTTTATTTTAAAAGTGAATTAAAAAAAATCTTTTATTACAATGATAAAATAAATTAGATTTTGATTAAACATGATAGATTAATGATTTTAGCTATTTTGTTCCGTTTAGTCTAATTCGCCAATTTAAGTATGAGAAAAACTGATCCATTTTAAAACAGTATTTATATAATAAAATAAAAATAATTATGATTAAAAATATTATTATTTTTTATTATATAATTGAATTATTTAAATATATTATAATGTAAATTCTAAAAATGAATTAATTAAATTTAAATTATTAATTATAATTAATTATTTTAATACATAAACATAATAATTTTTTAATTTATCTTATAAACATATTAATTAATAAATAAAAACTTAAAAATTATTCATATAATTAAAAATATATATATTTTTTAAATATATAAAAATCTTTATATAAAAAAATTATTAATAACTAACCCGGACAGGACGGATCATAAACGGGGCGGACCCGCATCCCTAACTTTCACATTAATATAAATTTATTTATGAGTATTTTGGTAATTAAAAAAGCCCATTAAGTATGCTGTTGTTGCTATTTTTTTAAATAATAACGTATAAATAATATATAATAGCTCAAAACCTCAAAAGTTTCAACTCAATTGTTTTGAATTTCGAAACCCTAAGTTCCCGACACCCACAACCCATTTGGTTCACTCCCTGCAACATCTAAGGTACGCTTCTCTCTCTACAACTTCGATCTTGAACGAGCTTAGAATCTTATATTTAACTTAATTTAAGCATTTGTTTGCACTTTTTTTTTTAAATTACCCCCTTTTCCGGTTCAATCTTCAATGTTTTTCTAGTTCACTTCTGCTCTGTAATGTTTCTTCCTCGTTTTCTAATTCACATTTCTTTTATCCATGAAATGCTTTTTAGGAATTAGTTTATCTGGTCATAAAATTGAATATCCCCTTTATTTCCTATGGATTTAAGATGTATATTTAGAGAAATCACAAGCCAAAACAAATTGGCTCTCAATTCTCTATATTTTTTATCACGTATGCGGTTAGACGTGAATTCTATGTTTGAAATAAACTTCATTCATTTCTGGATATTTTATCTATCATTTCTTGGTTAATACAACTATGTTCATTCGTTTACAACTGCTCAGATTCATTACTGATATTTTTTATTATCTTTTCTTGTGATATCTTGCCGGTTTTCATAGTCTGGTTGGTTGGACTGTATGTTAAAATGTATGGAAATTGTCAATATTTGGGATATAGAAGTTATTATTTGGTTAGTTGGACTAATATGTCAAAATGTATGGAAATCGTCAATATTTGGGATATAGAAGTTATTATTTGGTTAGTTGGACTGATATGTCAAAATGTATGGACATTGTCAAATATTTGGGATATAAAAGTTATGATCTGTGTTTGATTCTAACTTCTATACACATAACAATTACGTGTAATGTGTGGATCTTTCTGTTTAAAGACACTGTTAGCTGATTCAATGCTTTAATATGAACTGGTTTTATAGTTTGCCATGTATAACATTATTTTTTACTCAAAATCATTTATTTGCTTGAATATTTACAATAACTAGGTGTCAATTAGGTATTATTTATCAAAAACACCTAATTCACACTTATTAAGAAAATTGATTAATTTAGTTGATAGTATTAGTTGCGGGTGGCTGTTTGTAGTGGGTAGATGCTGGATTCTATTAAGGGTTTTCTCAAATATAATATATTAACACCATAAAATCAATGGTATTTACAACAAAGGGTAAAAATGAGGTCAACAAACCAAACAAGTTTACCAGTAAGTTAGTCTTCTGAGTTAGCTATCAACATACACTTTTCATAACATCGGGCTAAAAAATTTTGACCATTTTCATGCAACCTGATTTTTTACTGTAAGGTTCGATGAAACTGGGTGAATGAGTTCCACAGTATAAAACGTGAGGCCTTTATGGAGCTAAAATCAAACAAGGATGAACTCATCAATTAAATCACTAGAACCATAACTAACAAAGAGTTTCTTTGTTTCAGTGACTAATAATTCTGGAGTGCAAGTTATATCACCAGCCTCAAAAGAACTAACATCAATTGAATAGAAAAAGATAAAAATAATTATTAATTGTTTTTAGCTGTTGGTAAATCACAGATACTATCACATTAAACAAGCAAAATTTGAAAGCAACTCCACAGAATCGTGGTAAACAACATGTGACAAAATCTTTCCATGATTTGTTCATCGTGATGGCAACTCACTAATTTGAATAAAGTATCTATTATCCTTAAAGCTCGGGCATTCCCCTTCCTATTTTAGCATCGTAAGTCTTCTCTAACACAAGATCCATTGGAGTATCTTTTGGACCAACTGCCAAAAATAAATAACAATCACGATAAGATTTTGGGCTTCAAAATAATGTTAAAATGTATCTTTGAAATGACTGAAAATTGAATTGACATAGGTTTCCACTAAATTTTAATTTCATATACTCCATACAAATTTTGCACATTTACAACAACTGTAGTAAGTAGCTTCTAACAACTAGGTTAATAACATAGCTATGGAGGATGACCAAGAGATGAGTTCTACCACTTACTACTACCTTGAACCTAGCTTCTGACTCAAAATTCATATTACAAAAGACTTGGTCCTTCAATCCAAATTACTCTAGAAATAAATTACAGTGTTATACCATACAAATGTAGCTTTCACTTATCTTCTGCATATGAAGGCACGTTAGTGGGTCAATATGAAGGAGTAGAGATCATGTAACAAAAATTCACACCATAGAAGCAAGATTTTAAGAAAATGGAAGGCACTCTGTGAATCCTGAATCTTTGATGATTAGCATCCTCTCCACCAACAGTCTTTCCCAAAGGCTTTCTTCTATGTTCTGGTGCTTACTGTGGTTAGAAAATAGGCTTTCTATTGTCTTCTAGATTATTTTGTAAAAGTTGTTTTGGCTATCTTATCAATCATATAGGGTCCTTGGTGTAGGTTTTCTGGCAGCCATTTTGTATTTCTATTCAGACTTAACATATAAAAATAGATCTGCTGAGAGCTCACTCTCCCAAGCATTTTTCTATAAGATACTTATACTCTCAGCTTCTGCCAACATAATGAAAGATTTCAACAGAAGTGACCAGTTCAAAGAATGTCTCTAAAGTGTAAGGAAGCTCTCCGTCCAGGCCAAATATTACAAGCTTATGGCTAATCCTATATGCTAGCATCCTAACATACTCATAGCAAAAAGAGTAGAGATGCATTAAGAGAATGAACGAGAAAAATCAACTATTATCACCATAGTTTTCTTAATTTGATGAAATAATTATTTTGTTATTTTAAATAACAAAATAATTATTTTAAAATAATTTTTAAAATTATTTAATTTAACTAATCATTATAATTATATTTTGATTTAATTATTAAATAAAAAAATAAATATGTAACATTTTTTAATTAGATAAATAATTAATTTTTAATAATAAAATAATTTTAAATTATGTATTTATTATCATAAATAAAATTATTTTTTATTATTATTATTATTATTATTATTATAATTCTAAATAATTAGTTGATATTTTATAATTTCAATGATTTTAAAAAAATTCTTTTAACAGAAAAAGTTGAAATTACAAGAAATGGAATAGACGATGTCGTTTGAGCCGCGTTTGATGTCAGACCCAAAACTCTGCAGGGCAAAACCCCAATCTGTGTATCAGTGACTCCACGCTTCAAGCCCTAGGGTACTACTGGTATTTTTGATCGCAAACACATTCTCCTTTAACTTAATCAGTTTCATTTATCAAAACCATTTCGTTTAAGCCTTTTCGAGTATTAAGTATATCTAGGTTTGAATGATTTTTGTGAAAACTGAGAAGGTCAACATGAAACGCTATTTGTGAAGGGTTTATCACACATTGAAGCTCGAAGATATCATTGTTACGGTTAAGGATTTGTTTTCAAATTGCTTTGTGTTGTAATTTTTGACTTAGATTTTGTTTTTAGATTGATACGTTAAATGGGTTGGAAAGCAGCTGAGAAACTCATTAGGCACTGGAAAGTTCTAAGAGGGGATAATGTAAGTCAAGCCAAGCCAACTTCCCCACCATATATATATATATATATATATATATATATATATATATTACTGCCTTTTCTTTCACACTTCCACTTTTTATTTTGTAACAGGTTATGATAATAAGGGGTAAAGATAAGGGTGAGACTGGGACGATTAAGCGTGTCATTCGCTCTCAGAATCGCCTTATTGTTGAGGGTAAAAATCTGGTGAGTGATGAACACAGCACTCATTATACAAAGATTGGGTCCAATTTTTTATTAAGTGTCTGCATTTTCAATTCCATTATTGATCTTTCTTGCATTAGAATCTTTATTAATTGTCTAATCGAGATTTGGACATGTGATTGTGTGAATTTGCCTGATTGATTTCTCACTCCAATGCCGATTAACTTTCACTTTGCAGGTGAAGAAGCATATTAAGCAAGGGCAAGGTCATGAAGGGGGCATCTTTGCAGTGGAAGCCCCAATCCATGCCTCCAATGTGCAAGTTCTTGATCCAGTGACAGGGTATACACATTTGTTCAAAAATTGAACTTGTTATTGCATATCCTGCTGAGGTTGGGGATAACATATATTGAGTTAACGAAGTTTTACTTTTGCAGGAAGCCTTGCAAGGTTGGAGTTAAATATCTTGAAGATGGTACTAAAGTCAGGGTATCCAGAGGAATAGGAGCATCTGGGTCCATAATCCCTCGTCCTGAGATCTTAAAGATAAGAGCTACCCCACGACCTACTGTCTGTAAGTATCCAAAGGCTAATACTTTTTCTTGTCTAAGTTGCTGATAAACGTGGCAAGAATTGAGAGAGAATTGACTGAAAATTAGGAACTGGTGGTGTATTTGGATTGAAATGAATAAGGTGTGTACAACAAGCCAATAATGTGGCTTATGCTGACTAGAGACAAAGAAACAAGAGAGAACACAATTATAACAGGTTTTAAATTGAAGACCATATAATCTCCAAAAATAGTGCAATCCAAACATACAGATTACTCATCAAATTAAGAAAACTATGGTGATAATAGTTGATTTTTCTTGTTCATTCTCTTAATACATCTCTACTCTTTTTGCTATGAGTGTGTTAGGATGCCGACATATATGATTACCCATAAGCTTGTATTATTTGGCCTGGACGGAGAGCTTCCTTACACTTTAGAGACATTCTTTGAACTGGCCACTTATGTTGGCAGTAGCTGAGAGTATAAGTGTCTTATAGAAAAATGCTTGGGAGAGTGAGCTCTCAGCAGATCTATTTTTATATGTTAAGTCTGAACAGAAATACAAAATGGCTGCCAAAAAACCTACACCAAGGACCCTATATGATTGATAAGGATAGCCAAAACAACTTTTACAAAATAATCTAGAAGACAATAGAAAGCCTATTTTCTAACAGCAGTAAGCACCAGAACATAGAAGAGAGCCTTTGGGAAAGGCTGTTGGTGGGGAGGATGCTAATCATCTAAGATTCAAGATTCACAGAGTGCCTTCCATTTTCTTAAAATCTTGCTTCTATGGTGTGAACTTTTGTTACATGATCCCTACTCCTTCATATTGACCCAGTGACGTGCCTTCATATGAAGAAGATAAGTAAAAACTACATTTGTATGGTATAACACTGCAATTTATTTCTAGAGTAATTTGGATTGAAGGACCAAGTCTTTTGTGATATGAATTTTGAGTATGTTATTAACCTAGTTGTTAGAAGCTACTTACTATAGTTGTTGTAAATGTGCAAAATTTGTATGGAGTATATGAAATTAAAATTTAGTGGAAACCTATGCCTTTTCAATTTTTCAGTCATTTCAGAGATACATTTTAACATTATTCTTCTGAAGCCCAAAATCTTATCGTGATTGTTATTTATTTTTGGCAGTTGGTCCAAAAGATACTCCAATGGATCTCGTGTTAGAGAAGACTTACGATGCTAAAGCAGGAAGGGGAATGCCTGAGCTTTAAGGATAATAGATACTTTATTCAAATTAGTGAGTTGCCATCACAATGAACAAATCATGGAAAGAGTTTGTCACATGTTGTTTACCATGATTTTGTGGAGTTGCTTTCAAAATTTGCTTGTTTAATGTGATAGTATCTGTGATTTACCAACAGTTAAACAATTAATAATTATTTTTATCTTTTTCTATTCAATTGATGTTAGCTCTTTTGAGGCTGGTGATACAACTTACACTCCTGAATTATTAGTCACTGAAACAAAGAAACTCTTTGTTAGTTATGGTTCTAGTTCATCCTTGTTTGATTTTAGCTCCATAAAGGCCTCACATTTTATAATGTAGAACTTATTCACCCAGTTTTATCACCGTACCTTATAGTAAAAAATCAGGTTGCATGAAAATGGTCAAAATTTGTTAGCCCGATGTTATGAAAAGTGTATGTTGATAGCTAACTCAGAAGACTATCTTACCGGTAAACTTGTTTGGTTTGTTGACCTCATTTTTACCTTTTGTTGTAAATAACATTGATTTTATGGTGTTAATATATTATATTTGAGAAAACCCTTAATAGAATCCAGCTTCAACCCATTACAAACAGCCACCCGCAACTAATACTATCAACTAAATTAATCAACTTTCTGAATAAGTGTGAATTAGGTATTTTTGATAAATAATACCTAATTGACTTGTAAATATTCAAGCAAATAAATGAGTTTGAGTAAAAAAGATTAGATGTAATCAATACTCTTTTAACTCTAAAAGAATTAAATGTACAAGGAAAGTAGTTAATGCAGGAGACAATTAGAAAGAAAGTACAGTAGAAAGCATAAAGGAATTTAAAAATAATTTCTTATAATAAAGGATCCTAGGAGAATAATTTATAGCTAGTTTATCTCATTAATCTAATATCTATTTTATATTTTTTTAGTAAATAAAGAGAAGGATTATATATATATATATATATATATATATATATATATATATTAAGAAAACTTATATAAATAAGGAATGAATGCAGGTCATATTTTAATAATTTCTTTTAATTTTTCTATAGACATGGAGGAGACTTATGTTTTATTATATTTAGTTCATGATTGAACGGGGAATGCTACCCTACTTAATCGTGACGGTTATATGTTAATTTTCAACTTATTACACTTTTCATTCCAAATATTATTAGTGAAAATGGAGAGATATTTATTTTTATTTTACAAAATTGAGTAGTAAAGTGAGATTTGTATTTTATTTATGTATTATGATTGTATATTATAATTATCTACACATTATAATGAAGATTTTATAATTGTTCTCTAAGAGAATATATAGATGTTTCATGTGTTGCTTAAATATCTTATAAGTAATTTGGAATTGATTTACGTAATAATAAGAGTTTATAAAATATTTAATAATATTATTCTTATAAGCAAACTTGTTTAAGAAGAAAAATGGGAAACAAGTAAAATAATATATTTCAATCTTAACTGTCTTAATAATTCTGGAAAATTAGATTAAATAAAATCTTATTTTATTATTTAATACAAAGAGATTATACAATATATATACAAGAGACCTAAATTATTTTAGAAAATATAATAACTCTATTTTATTCTAGGATTCTTTGATTTATAGGATTGTTTCTAATTATTCAAATTTGTATAGATTACAAATTTTTTAATTTATTATTTCCTAAAATACTATTTGATTTTCCACACTCTCCCTTAAGTTGGTGAATAAGTGTTTTTCATTCCCAGCTTGGATACAATCATCTCAAAATTGTGGCAGTCCAGTCCCTTGGTAAGAATATCTGCAATTTGGTCTTGAGAGGACACATATGGAGTGCATATCAAGTCACTATCAAGCTTTTCTTTGATGAAGTGTTTGTCTACTTCAATATGCTTTGTTCTATCATGCTGCACTGGGTTGTGGGCTATGTTGATTGCTGACTTATTATCACAATAGAGCTTCATAGGTTCTTCCCATTTTATCCTCAAGTCTTCTAAGATTATTTTAAGCCATAAAAACTCACATATACCTTGTGTCATGGCTCGGAATTCCGCTTCAGCACTGGACCGAGCCATTACACCATGTTTTTTGCTTCTCCAAGTCACAATATTTCCTCCAAGAAAGGTGCAATATCCTGTAATTGACCTCCTATTCACAATTGACCCTGCATAATCAGCATCAGTATAGGCTTCAAGCTTCACATTACCATTCCTTTTGAATAGAATCCCTCTTCCTGGAGTTCCTTTAAGGTACTGTAAAATTCTGTGGGCTGCTTGTAAATGGGTCTCCTTTGGGTTATGCATAAATTGGCTAATTAAACTCACTGCATAGGCAATATCTGGCCTGGTATGCGACAAATATATAAGTCTATCCACTAATCGTTGGTACATATATTTTTCAATAGCAACATCTTCTTCTATATTTCCAAGCTTTAGGTTTGGTTCTAATGGGGTACTAGCAGGTTTGCAAGCTGCCTTGCCAGTTTCCTTGAGCAAATTAGTGATGTATTTCTGCTGGGATTTAAATATCTCTTTCTTGGAGTGGGCAACTTCAATTCCCAAAAAATATTTTAGTTTTTCCAAGGTCTTGATCTCAAATTCCTTGCCTAAGCATTGGCTCAACAATTGATACTCCTCTTTATTATCTTCAGTTAATATTATGTCATCCACATACACCAATAATATTGTTACTCCCCCTGTCTTGGAATGTTTAAAGAACAAAGTATGGTCCCCTTGACTTTGTTTGTAACCCAGACCTGTCATAACTTTAGTAAACCTACCAAACCATGCACGGGGGGATTATTTTAGCCCATATAATGTCTTTCTCAACTTGTAAACAGTGTTGACAACAACATCTCTACCATATCCCGGAAGTATCTCCATATAAATTTCTTCTTCAAGGTCTCCATGTAGGAAAGCATTATTAACATCAAATTGTTCCAAGTTTCAACTATAATTGGCAGCAAGGGACAATATCACCCTAACTGTGTTCATTTTGGCAACCGGAGCAAAGGTCTCCAAATAATCAACTCCATAGGTTTGGATGAAACCTTTGGCAACTAGTCTTGTCTTATATCTCTCAATTGATCCATCAACCTTGTATTTCATTGTATAGACCCACTTACATCCAATTGACCTCTTTCCTATTGGTAAGGTGACTAACTCCCAAGTGTTGTTCTTCTCCAATGTCTGCATCTCTACATCCATGGCTTGCCTCCATTTTCTGTCAGACAATGCCTCAGATAGGGTATTAGGTAGAAGTATAGTGTTTATGTTTACTAGGAAGGTTTTATGGGTAGGAGAGAAATTTTTAAAGGACAGGTAAATTGAGAGAGGGTAGAGTGGTTGTTTGATGCATTTTCTTGTCTCTTTTCTAATGGCAATTAGGAGGTCAGAATCATTTTGGCTTTCAATTTCAACCTGCACAGTTGGAGAAAAAATTGTTACCTCTTTTTGTGGAGTCGAGTTGGATTCTTGAACATGGCTTGATCCTAGAATGGCCTTAGTCTTCCTTGAGTATACCAGCTTCTTACCAAATTTTCTAGCTTCAACATCTTCTTGATCAGCTTCACAATTAATTTCACTTTCTTGACCAACTTCCTTTTCTTGACCAATTCCTTGACTTGTTTTACTTGTTACAACTTCAATTTGATCTCGTTTAGGTTCAAATATCAAGTCTGGAAGGATGAGAAAACCAGAATTACTACTACTTTCAATTTGATCTTGTTTAGGTTCAAATATCAAGTCTGGAAGGATGGACAAACCAGAATTACTACTAAAACTCTCCCCCTAAAGATAAGGTTGATGGAAATAGCTCTCTTGTTCATTGAAGGTAACATCCCTAGACACAAAGAATTTTTTGGATGGTGGGTGGTAGCATTTATACCCTTTCTGAGTGGGTGAGTAACCAACAAAGACACACTTTAAGGCTCTAGGATCAAGTTTCCCCTTGTCTGTACTATGAATATGGACATATGAGATGCACTCAAAAACTCTTGGTTTAAGATTATTTGTAGTGGACAGGTTTGGATAGAAAAACGACAAAGCTTCCATAGGACTTTTTGATCCTAAGACTCTAGAGGATAGTCTATTGATAAGGTATGTTGCTATCAGGACAACTTCCCCCCAGAATTTTTTGGGGACATTTTTTTGGATCAACAATGCCCGAGTCTGATTTAATAGATGTCCATATTTCCTCTCTGCGACTCCATTATGTTGTGGTGTTTTGACACAAGAGGACTCATGAATTATACCTTCTTTTTTACAAAAAGAATTAAGGACATGATTGAAGTAATCTTTGGCATTATCTGACCTAAGCTTCTTAATATTAACACCAAACTGATTTTTTATAAAGGAGTGGAAGTTTAGGAAGACAGAACTGACTTCTGATTTTTGTTTAAGTAGGAAAACCCAAGTGACCCTTGTACAGTCATCTATAAAGGTGACAAACCATCGAGCACCAGACACATTTGGAACATTAGAAGACCCCCATACATCAGTATGAACAAGATAAAATGAGAAATTGCTAATTGCTAATTCTATTACTTATTGGAAAAGATACACGCTTGTATTTAGCAAGTTCACACACCTCACAATGAAGACTCTCAACATCTAACTTGGTAAACAGAGAGGGAAACATAATTTTGATCACTCCAAAAGATGGATGTCCCAACCGACAATGATAAAGCATGATTTTTTTTCTGTTGGTCATCAAGGATTCAGATATGAAGGAGTGAGAGATTCTGTTCTTGTTGGGCAGACTTGGATCTTTGAGATAATAAAGGTCATTCCATTCTCTAGCCTGTCCAATCATCCTCCCCGAAATCCTTGTCTTGAAATACACAATGATCGTTGAAAAAAACAACTTTACATGACAAATCCTTTATAAGTTTTTGTATAGACACTAGGTTGGTGGACAACTTTGGGACATGGAGAACATCTTTTAAGGTTATTAAAGGATTGATTTTGATATTTCCTTACCCAGCTACAGTTATAAGGGTTTCAT